AAGGGAAAAGAAGGAAGCCTGTACAGAATAAAAATATTCCAAATCATGCATTCTGTTTGCAACATGGCACTAAAGTAGTACTGCAAGCAATGTGGGAAAGCAATACATTTTTGGCCTGAATACAAAGTGTTATGTTTGGGGCCAATTCAATACAACACATTACTGAGTAACACTCTCCATACTTTCAAGCATAGTGTTGGTTGCATCATGTTATGGGTATGCTTGTAATCGTTAAGGACTGAGGAGTTTTTCAGTATTAAAAAAAAAACGTAATGGGCCTAAGCATAGGCAAAATCCTAGAGGAAAACCTGGTTCAGTCTACTTTCCACCAGACACTGGGAGATGAATTCACCTTTCAGTAGGACAATAAACACAAGGCCAAATCTACACTGGAGTTGCTTACCAAGAAGACAGTGAATGTTCCTGAGTGGCCGAATTACAGTTTTGACTTAAATCTACTTGAAAATCTATGGCAAGACCTGAAAATGGTTGTCTAGCAAAGATCAACAACCAATTTGTAAGAGCTTGAAGAAGTTGAAAATAATAAAGGGCAAATGTTGCACAGTCCAGGTGTGGAAAGCTCTTAGAGACTTACCCATAAAAATTCACAGCAGTAATCTCTGCCAAAGGTGCTTCTAAAAAGTATTGACTCAGGGTTGTGAATACTTATGTAAATGAAATATTCTGTATTTCATTTTCAATACATTTGAAAAAGGCTTTCACTTCGTCATTATGGGGTATTGTGTGTAGATTGGTTAGAATTTTTTTTATATTTAACCAATTTTGAATTCAGACTGTAACACAACAAATGTGGAATAATTCAAGGGGTATGAATACTTTCTGAAGGCACTGTATATCTATCTATGGGCTAGCAGAGGTCTGAGGTTTAATCTTTAGGAAAGGGGTCCCCAATTACATTCACCGATTATTTTCTTGAGCGGATGGTCGGCGGGCTGGAACATAATTATAAATAATTTGTGCACTGCAAATTGACCGCAAGAAGCCCAAACAGATATTTTATTTGACTTTATCATTTCAAACCTAGATTACATTGGAATACTTGGGAACAGATTTCCTACATAAAGGGACGCAGACGGCACTTGCCATATGATCGATGAGAAATGTCATATGGCAAATGGACGGCCCCTAACTAGATGTCCGCGGGTGCGCTAAAAACAGGCCGAAGGCCTCGGGTCGAGCGCCAAGGCCCGTTCTTCCAGGAAGTCATGAAAGAAAGTTTCCAGAACACTCGGTTTCCGAGATATCATCTTTTTCATTATTTCTGCTGCACCGGACAATACCACAGGGTGTTGACCCGCTGTATATGGCAAATTGACATTTCATCACCAAATGGACATGGCCGTTTCTCGTAAACTGAACAGACTTCAAAGACGAAACTCGGTGAGCAGAGGGGCGGCCAGATGTACTTTTACCCTGGAAACAAGATGGCGTCGAGGCCACAACGCTTTTTGAGTTAATGCACATTTTCTGGGACTAAAGGTCAAACGGTAATACATTGCTAATTTGACCGCTGCACGTCAAAGTACATAAACCTACAGTGTAAGGAAAAATAGAACCAGCCATTTATCTATCGTAGTTTATGAGAAATCGTACAACGTCATCTTCCTGATGCAAAAAATATAAATGTTTTTTGTAGAAAAAAGTTATAGCGGCAGTTGAGGCGTGTTAAGGCGAATACGTTAAGGCAGGTTTTGGAGCTTTAAGTGATTTCTGTGATTTTATGTGATTTTATGTATGAAGTTTGTCCATCTTCAATAAGTTAGGTGCATTTTCATATTGCAAATGGACAGACTCACACAGCACTGTGTACTTCCAGTATTCTTTTGAGACCCAAAGAACCACCCCATAAACGCAGCACCCATAGAGACATGCTCTAGCCTGACATGTGCTCACACTGCCCATCAGACCTACGAGAAAAACTCACACACACAGCCAAGATGGAGTGACACAGTGTGTGGCTTACAGATGCAAGGAGCCTGCATTTGAACCATCAAAGAACCGTCAGACCTAGAGCTCTGAAACTTTATAAAACTGTTCTATAGCTTAAGTCAGTACTGCACAGTGAGTTACGTGGCTCTAGGAGGTTCTCCGGCCGAGAAACAGCCTTGTCCATTTGCAATATATTACATTCATTTTTAACATCACGAAAATGACGACATTTAGAAAAGTCCCAGAATCACAAGACTAGGTGCATTGAAACCGCCTCGGCCCATAGAAACGGACCCTACAAGAATGATAGTTTGTTCAGGAACCCCGTAGCAACCCCCGAAAAAAGTTCATTTTCAGAACTAATGAAGGTCGCTGCTCGTGCTCCGAATTACCTATCGAGCCGAAACTCGGGATTCGGGTTCGCCTCAGCTAGGCCTACACATCATGTCAGAACTGGACTTGCAGCTTGAATGTAACTACGGATTTTCAGTTTTTTTATGGTTTGAACAGAAAGCGCTATGAATTTTGGGCCAGCTCTGACATATGTGATAGTTGGCTTCTAAACGAATTGGACAAAGCAAGTTTGGTGTCAATATGTATCAGTTTGTTGTAAGTATGATATCTTATTCACTTATGGCTGACTGTCCAATTGCAGTATAATATATTGGCATGGTCCATATGTTATATTGATAATGGACAGAGTCCATTACCCATATGTTTAAACAGGGAGTTACCATCACCAAATGGACAGGCTAAAATCATCACTGAACGAGGTTCATGTAGTTTGACCCATCCGAGTTGTTCCCTTAGGATAACATTGGTTTACAGGTTATACTCTAACTCTGCTTCTGTTTATGCAATTTGCAAAGTTCCTTGTGCCACATGTTCAGGGTCACCGGTAACTCTACAGATATCAATATGAATAGAGTACATGGTCCCCTTCATATTCTAAACGGGAGGTATGAACTTTACCATCAACAAATGAACAGGCTGAAATCAACAAACACATGAACAGGCTAAAATCAACAAACATACAGGCTGAAATCAACACTGAAAGGCAAATGAATGTCATCGCTATAGTCTCTAGGCCGTTCCGAGTTCAAAGATGTGCCCCACTTGACTGTAGCTCGCTCGGTCTGACCGCAGCGACTGTGCAAATAAGTAGGCCCGAAATTAAGCCTGACTAGTAATGATTTCAACATGATTTTGACATATTGTGGCCTCTGGGTCACACAGAGACACGCTGTTTTCGACTGGGTCATCGGGGGGAGGTTAGGGTAGACAAGCCACAGAGTTATTCTAGCTGCGTGCGGCGGTTCATTCAGTTTGACCCATCCGAGTTGTTCCCTTAGGATAACATTGGTTTACAGGTTATACTCTAACTCTGCTTCTGTTTATGCAATTTGCAAAGTTCCTTTTGCCACGTGTTCAGGGTCACCTTTAGCTCTACAGATATCAATATGAATAGAGTACATGGTCCCCTTCATATCCTAAAAGGGAAGTATGAACTTGCAATATACCATATGGCAAATGCCATTGTAACATATTGCAATTGGACAGCAATCAAGTTAGCCATCTCATTGCTTAAAATCATCATAAACAGTCAAAGGACAGCACATTTGAATTGTATTTGTACAGTAGAGTGTCCCAGTAGTGGACTTTATTAGTTTAAGCCCTTTAACTCATGTCCAGTTCGTGATGGTAAATGCCCATTGTAATATATTGCTAATGGACAGGGAGAGAATCCACTATCACTGTTAGGCCATCCCGAGTTCAATGAGCTTGAGAATTGAGCATTTCAGCAATGTAAGAGCATGTTACAGTATGTCCAATTCGTGATGGTAAATGCCCATTGTAATATATTGCTAATGGACAGTGTCTATTTGCCATATGATATATTGCCAGTGCCAATAAGTTGTACTGACATATAGGCACTGGCAATATATCATATGGCAAATGAACACTGTCCATTTCCAATATGTTTAAGCAGTGATTTACCATCACCAAATGGACAGGCTGAAATCAACACCAATGAATAAGGGAGAGGAACCACTATCACTACTAGGCCATCCTGAGTTCAACGAGTCTGACAATTGGGCATTTCAGAAATGTAACACTATGTCCAATTCGTGATGGTAAATTCCCATTGTAATATATTGCTAATGGACAGTGTCCATTACACATAATACATTACCAGTCTTTTGACAAAGTTTTTATAATTGGTCATTTCACCCTTGAGATTTCACTTTGGTGTCCACTTGCAATATACTGTCTGACGGTGGAGAACGCTCGCCCCCTTTGGGATTTTTGAATTTTTACACTGGCATTTGCCATATACCATTTGCAATATGTTTTGCACCATTTTGCATCTATTTGAGTGGTATTTGCAATTGTGTATATGTTTCGTCCAATGGTAATAAGTTGCTATTCATTTTTGTCCATTAGGCATATGCTTTCCCTTAATTAAAATCTGTCACGGATTCTGCCGAGACTGCCCTTCCTTCTGGTTCGGGCAGGCTGCGGCGTTCGTCGTCACTGGATCTATGTTTTATGTTTCTATGTTCACCTGGTTGTTGTCTAGTGTTGCGCACCTGTTTCCCATTATAGTATTATGTCCTTCCCTATTTAACCTGTTCGCCCCCACTGTGTGTTGTGCGTGTTTGTTGCTTGTTACAAGTGTCGTTTGTGAGCGGGTTTGCTCCTCCCTGTGTTTGGAGGTTTTACTTGTTTCTTTACTATTCAGTAAAGTAGATTTTCATTTCATTCTGTGTCCTGCGCTTGACTCTGGCCTACCGCATTCCACAGACATTCATGACAAAAATCACTTTGAGAGGATTTCTTGGTGATTTTACAGTCTTTTATGTTCAACAATATTTGCTCAGAAAACTTGGGGGGCCAAATAAAATCACCTGCGGGCCGCCTATTGGGGAACCCTGTATTAGGAGATCGAGGGTGACCTGGACCGGGAGAGCAGTGGTCTGAGCTAACTCATCAGTTTTAATGATTGTGTCTATATATATGCCTCTGGTCTGGTGTCTGCCCTTCAGGAGATGCAGGGTGACCTGGACTGTGAGAGCAGTGGTCTGCAGGACCTGGAGTCCCAGAAGCAGGATGCCCAGGATAGGCTAGAAGAGATGGATCAGCAGAGGAACATGCTGGAGGGTGTGCTCAACGACATCAGGCAGAAGTGTCAGGACGAGTCCACGCTGGTCAGTTAGCAACACACATATTATTATGGTCTGAACAGGAAAAACTATTGTCCCCACTTATAGAGGCTTATAACATCTAATTGATGTACTGTATGACTCCTGTTGCTGTCAGTTAGGGCCAGGAGTTTTTCCTGAACTCCTGGCAGGGCCAGGAAAAACATATGTCCCCAGTTTTAGGCTGTCTCTGGCGCTTATCATATCTGATTTACATGGTATTCCTGTAGCTTGGATGGATAGCTGTCTCTTTTTGAGCTGTTTTATGAGTAGTTATGACACTTTCTGTGTCTGTCTTTCATCTCTCATTTTCTCTCGACTTTCATTCTTCCTTACCCGTCTTATATCTCTTTCTCTTCCCATACATTCTACTCTCCTCCTTTTTTCCCTCCTTCCAGATCTCATCCTTCCAGACCCAGATCCACAGCCAGGAGTCTGACCTTCAGACTCAGGAGGACAAGCTGAGCCGGACCAAGTCTGACCTGAACAGACTACAGCAGGACGAGAACCAGCTAGAACAGAGCCTGCTGGCCGGACACATGCAGCTGGACAGCATCATCAAGTCCCTCAAGGCCACGCAGGACGAGATCAACCAGGTACGGGGAAAGAGAGAGAGAAGGTGCATCGGTCATTATCAGGATATAGTCTAGAAACTATGTTGGTATAATTTAAGTTAGTGTTTAGCACAATATGACGCATGCAGCTAGACAGCATCATCAAGTCCCTCAAGGCCACACAGGACATAGTCAAATGTTGTATTAAATGAAGGTAGTGTTAAGTTTTGAGTAGAATATCACTTTAATGTCCATCCAGAAAAAGGAAATGTTCCTTCTAATGCTGTACTGAACAAAAATATAAACGCAACATCCAAAAATGTTGGAAGGTTGGAATGGGCCATCGCCAAGCAGCCTGGTGAGAAGGTGACAACAGTTGGTGCGATTATTCGCAAATGGAAGAAACACAAAATAACTGTCAATCTCCCTCGGCCTGGGGCTCCATGCAAGATCTCACCTCGTGGAGTTGCAATGATCATGAGAATGGTGAGGAATCAGCCCATAACTACATGGGAGGATCTTGTCAATGATCTTAAGGCAGCTGGGACCATAGTCACCAAGAAAACAATTGGTAACACACCATGCCGTGAAGGACTGAAATCCTGCAGCGCCCGCAAGGTCCCCCTGCTCAAGAAAGCACATATACCGGCCCGTCTGAAGTTTGCCAATGAACATCTGAATGATTCAGAGGAGAACTGGGTGAAAGTGTTGTGGTCAGATGAGACCAAAATCGAGCTCTTTGGCATCAACTCAACTCGCCGTGTTTGGAGGAGGAGGAATATTGCCTATGACCCCAAGAACACCATCCCCACCGTCAAACATGGAGGTGGAAACATTATGCTTTGGGTGTCACGATCGTTCATTAACGAGTAGGACCAAGGCGCAGCGTGATATGTATTCATATGTATTTACGTACTGAACACACAACAAACAAAACGTGAAGTCCAAGGTAGACAAAATAACATACCTCACACGGAACAAGATCCCACAACTGACTGGTGCCAAACGGCTGCCTAAGTATGATCCCCAATCAGAGACAACGAGCTACAGCTGCCTCTGATTGGGAACCACCCTGGCCAACATAGATCTAAACGATTTAGAAACTAAACATAGAAATAAACACAACACGAAATATACACACCCTGACTCCTGAGTGGCGCAGTGGTCTAAGGCACTGCATCGCAGTGCTAACTGTGTCACTAGAGATCCTGGTTCGAATCCAGGCTCTGTCGCAGCCGGCCACGACCGGGAGACTCATGGGCGGCGCACAATTGGCCCAGCGTCGTCCAGGGTAGGGGAGGGAATGGCCGGCCGGGATGTAGCTCAGTTGATAGAGCATGGCGTTTGCAACGCCAGGGTTGTGGGTTCGATTCCCACGGGGGGCCAGTATAAAAAAATATGTATTCACTAACTGTAAGTCGCTCTGGATAAGAGCGTCTGCTAAATGACTAAAATGTAAATGTAAATGTAAATGTAATGACTCAACAAATAACCGTCCCCTGAGTCAGGGCGTGACATTGGGGGTGTTTTTCTGCTAAGGGGACAGGACAACTTCACCGCATCAAAGGGACGATGGACGGGGCCATGTACCTTCAAATCTTGGGTGAGAACCTCCTTCCCTCAGCCAGGGCATTGACAATGGATCGTGGATGGGTATTCCATCATGACAATGACCCAAAACACACGGCCAAGGCAACAAAGGAGTGGCTCAAGAAGAAGCACATTAAGGTGAGATTAGGAGCACTCCCTTTAAGAGTGTGCTCCTAATCTCAGCTCGTTACCTGTATAAAAGACACTTGGGGGCCAGAAATCTTTCTGATTGAGAGGGGGTCAAATACTTATTTCCCTCATTAAAATGCAAATCAATTTATAACATTTTTGACATGCGTTTTTCTGGATTTTTTTGTTGTTATTCTGTCTCTCACTGTTCAAATAAACGCTACCATTAAAATGATAGACTGATCATGTCTTTGTCAGTGGGCAAACGTACAAAATCAGCAGGGGATCAAATACTTTTTTCCCTCACTGTAACTTTTTGGTCCACCAGCCACTGTGGCAGGTAGATGAAAAAATCTACCAGCTACTCGCATTGTTTACCAGACAAAATATGTTTTTGCCATAATTACACCAAAAATCACAAATAATTGATGAGCATGCTTTGTAATGTTTCTAAAACAAGAAGTATATTACTTGTAAGAAGTAATGTGGTATATTGATCAATTCCCCCTTTTTTTTTTTTACTGGACTTTTTTTCCCACAAATATTTTTCTTGATATTAACAACGTTTTAAATATATATTTTCATAGACCAAAGTATCAGCTATCACACCATGTAAAGAAACAACTTCTTAATTTTACATTCTTTCATGAAATGCAACTAAATGGATTGATGTTAACTCCGTCAGACACTTTTAAAGACATTTAATGTTTATGTTTATTGTCCAACAAGTGTTTAAAGGCATTTATTGTTTAATTCTAACATTAGATTATTAAAATGTGTAATACAAATCTCCAAACTATTTTATTTTTTTATTTTATAGCGCTATATAATGCTCCAGGGCATATTTCGTTAGCATTTTGGCATGTTCTTCTAAATTCAGAAAAGAAAACAACATTTATAAAGCATATATTATCCCTTATATCTAGCACAGCAAATACTTTAATAGTTTAAGCATATGTTGCAGAACAGTGATTCAATATTCTTTGAGAATATTTACACAAAAAAAAGATTTTAAGGGGTGACTGAGTTGACTTGCCACTGACGGAGTTGACATCAAATACACAAAACAGACTATTAATTGCTTCAAAAATAAAAGTTCAATTTGTAAAATATATAAACTGATTCATTTGAAAATCCCCAATAAAAACAACCATTCTATTCGATTTTTCAGCACTCTAACGGAGTTAGACAAAAAATCTGATGGAGTTTGTTTTACGGAGTTGACAAAAGTAAAAATGTTCATCTTCATTCAAGTGTTATACAAAGTAGCAATTTTGTTTTTCCTCAGTTGCTTTATGACTATAAAACCTAATTAAAAGAAACATATCTAAAACAAAATTCATATCCTATCTTAATTTATCAGGGGGATGGGGTTGACAGTTTATGGTTGTGACCAGGTGTTGGAACCATTCCAACCAGCAAAATCAAATTCTGAACCGGTCAAACAAAGAAGTAACGGTTTATATCGATTCTTTCTGTTCCTTTTTTTTTTCAGAGCAGCACCAGAATTAAAATGAAAATGTGTCTTACCTTTTTGTAGTTAATAAATCCAATGTGAAACGTGTTAACTATAGTATCCCTTACCGAAAAAACAGGCTTATGTTGTGGCAAACCTTTGGCCAATTTCTCATTTTTTCACATGCAAATTGGTTTTGTGGCAAACTGTTGCAGTAAATTTGCTGCAACTTTTGAACTTCTGGCAAACAATTCTGGGAAAATTGTGGCGAAGATTCTACTGTTCTACAGAGATTCTACAAAGATTCTACAAATTTGCTGCAAACACAATTTGAATATGCAAATTAGATCAGGTTTTTGGTTACTGTGTGTTAAGATTGAAATGTTGTAACTACATAAATGAAATCAAATAACTTTAAATGAACTTACTTCTTAGAGGAAAAAAACTACACATTAAATGTAGTAAATATACTAAACATGTATTCAATGTCTTAACAGATAAAAATAAATCCAATACAACTTGAAATCATCAGCATGGTAATGAAGAAAAGAGCAATGACTGGATATTTCACAAATTGTTCTTTTAATCTTTGTATGTAGCTACAACATTTACATCAGAGAAATGTGAACACTATGGTGATTTTGACCTTAGGATGTTTAAAGGGGCAACTACAGAATCATGTACATGATAACTGAGCAATAGATTTCAACCTATGGAAGTTTAAAAGATAATTAACAACATTTCTATAATTAAAACAACAAAAACTAAATCAAACCCAGTTCAGAACTATTGCCTTTTTGAGAACTCTGGAGATGGCGGCCCTGTGAAAGTCCTTCATCCAAAGCTTGTTGAATACATGCACTGAAACAATCAGAAAACACAAAACAAACAAAATTAGGATACTGAAAATAATTACTGAAAACATTTGATTTTGGCGTCTTAAAGAGGTAGAAATGATGGCCTCCCGAGTGGCGCAGTGGTCTAAGGCACTGCATTGCAGAGCTTGCGGCGTCACTACAGACCTGGGTTCAATTCCAGCCGTAGAAATTGAGTTATGCCTAATATTTTTCCAAAATGAATTATTGTTACACCCTAAAAAATGCTGGGTTCAAAATAGCCCAATTTGAGTCATTTCGACAACCCAGCACTGGGTCAATATTGTACACCCAGCACCATAGGTTGAGCGCTTGACCCAGTGGCTGGGTAAATTAGACTATTTTGCTGTGTTAAAACAACCCAGTGCATTGGGTTGTGACATAAACCCAGCACATTGGGTTGGGGGATTGACCCAGCAACTGGGTAATGTTTTTATGTAATCCTTGGGTTATTTTCAGTGTAATCCTAATTTCAATTTTGCTTATGTATTTTTGCCTTCCCTTCCCTTCCCTACCATCCCACCCCCTCCCTTTCCTACACACAATCAAGATACAATGTTGAATTTCTATTCATTTATTTGTAATGCCTGCATTTCCGCTAGGCTTAACCGCTAGGCTTAACAGCTAGGGGGGAGATTTTAAGGGATAGTTTGAAGAAGGAAGGGTTGATAAGACAGGTCAAATGGTTGAACATAGGCAAGGGAGTGAGGAAAGAACAAAATGAATAGAGGTTAGAAAGGCAGGCCGATTACAGGCGGGGTATCGGTTCGAACCCCTTGCGGCCTGCAGGGAGTGATCCGGCAGCCAAAGGGTTATCAGCTACAATATCTCTGTATACTACCTACTGCTGTTGTGCCCTTGAGCAAGGCACTTTACCCCTAAGTGCCCATGAGCTGCTCCCAGCCTGCTGTGATGTGTGTTGTGTGTCAGGTACTGTCACTGCAACATAATATCTGTATAAATGACCAATAAGGCAAGTAGGTAAAATGAAGGCCCGACTAACTATGGTAGCTGTGCATATAATTTATGTAGTCCCAAAGTCGCTGCATGGTTCTAAGAGGCTCTGTTGAAGTTAAGTCTTTCAAGTTTCCATTAAGGTTGTACTACTGGTTATCGATGACAATGTGCAAGACGTAGATGGTGTATTACACAGGGTCAATGAAAATGTGTGTTTTTTCACTCCCAAAGCTCTGTCCCCTCACTCTCAGAAAGGAATTTCTCAGTTTTACTTACCCTCAAACTTTGGAATTAAAGAGGCCAGGTTCCACTCATTCAGCGTATCCTTTACAAAGCCGTCCATTGGCCTTGGCCTCTGCATTTAAGTACAGAAATAAATAAATGTTAGAAACATAGCTAGCTAGCAACTAACTTGACTATATCATATTTAAGGTACATTTTAATGTTAGCTAGCTAAAATAATGTTCATCCATCCTCTTCCGACTGAAGCTGCCACTGTCAGAAACTATTGAAAACCAGTACAGTAACGCTAGCTTACTTAATCAATCACCATGCAAGCATGAGATAAGCCTGCCAAATAGCTTGGATAAATTAACCTAGACAGAGAATAAGTAAAATCGAGCTATGGTAATTTAGCTAGCCAGCTAACGACTGAAATAGTGCCCAACACAGTCCTGAAGAAGTCAATTAGCTAGCTACCATTACAGACACTGACATAGTTAGCTAACTAGCTAGCCAAACGTTGACAAAAAACATACATTTAGCTATATTCTGCGACAACACTCCAGTAACCTAGCGTTGAGAGCATTGGTTGCGAGGCTAACGTTAGCTAGCTAGTAAATGTTACCACAGCCAGAGATATTTGCCAGAAAATGTCTCGCTGACGCTCAAGCTACCTATTTATGATAGGATAACCTATTTAACATGAATGACCATCATTCATAATTCGTAACATTTGTTACTTACGGTTTTCAGTCAGCCAAAACACCCTTAGTTTGTCAAAATAACGTTAGCTATTTTCCACTCAGTCAGTCACTAAGTCATACTAGAAAACTATTAAGTTGCCATGGCTCGACACTTGCTCATGTTCTTGTGGACTTCATGCGCTGGTGGTGGGAGAATTAACCCACTGGCTGGCTGGATCAAATATCCATAACCCAACCTTAAAAACCCAACACCAACAACCCAACCTTTTGGGGTTTAACTTACAGTATCAGTCAAAAGTTTGGACACACCAAGTTTTTCTTTATTTTTACTATTTTCTACATTGTAGAATAATAGTGAAGACATGAAAACTATGAAATAAAACATATGGAAGCATGTAGTAACCAAAAAAGTGTTAAACAAATACAAATATATTTGAGATTTGAGATTCTTCAAATAGCCACCCTTTGCCTTGATGACAGCTTTGCACACTCTTGCCATTCTCTCAACCAGCTTCATGAGGTAGTCACCTGGAATGCATTTCAATTAACAGGTGTGCCTTCTTAAAAGTTAATTTGTGGAATTTCTTTCCTTCTTAATGCGTTTGAGCCAATCAGTTGTGTTGTGACAAGGTAGGGGTGGTATACAGAAGATATCCCTATTTGGTAAAAGACCAAGTCCATATTATGGCAAGAACAGCTCAAATAAGCAAAGAGAAATGACAGTTCATCATTACATTAAGACATAAAGGTCAGTCAATACGGAAAATTGTAAGAACATTTAAAGTTTCTTCAAGTGCAGTCGCAAAAATCATCAAGCGCTATGATGAAACTGGCTCTCATGAGGACTGCCACAGGAAAGGAAGACCCAGAGTTACCTCTGCTGCAGAGGATACGTTCATTGGAGATACCAGCCTCAGAAATTGCAGCCCAAATAAAGGCTTCACAGAATTCAAGTAACAGACACATCTCAACATCAACTGTTCAGGGGGGGGGCTGCGTGAATCAGGTCTTCATGGTTGAATTGATGCAAAGAAACCACTACTAAAGGACACCAATAAGAGGAAGAGACTTGCTTGGGCCAAGAAACACGAGCAATGGACATTAGACCGGTGAAAATGTGTCCTTTGGTCTGGAGTCCAAATTTGAGATTTTTGGTTCCAACCGCCGTGTCTTTGTGAGACGCGGTGTGGGTGAACAGATGCTCTCCGCATGTGTATTTTCCACTATAAAGCATGGAGGAGGAGGTTTGATGGTGTGGGGGTGCTTTGCTGGTGACATTGTATGTGATTTATTTAGAATTCAAGGCGCACTTAACCAGCATGGCTACCACAGCATTCTGCACTGATACTCCATCCCATCTGGTTTGGGCTTAGTGGGACTATCATTTGTTTTTCAACAGGACAATGACCCAAAACACACCTCCAGGCTGTTTAAGGGCTATTTTACCAAGAAGGAGAGTGATGGAGTGCTGCATCAGATGACCTGGCCTCCACAATCCCCCGACCTCAACCCAATTGAGATGGTTTGGGATGAGTTGGACTGCAGAGTGAAGGGAAAGCAGCCAACAAGTGCTCAGCATATGTGGGAACTCCTTCAAGACTGTTGGTTACTAAATGATTCCATATATGTTATTTCATGGTTTTGATGTCTTCACTATTATTCTACAATGTTGAAAATAGTTAAAATAAAGAAAAACCCTGGAATGAGTAGGTGTGTCCAAACTTTTGACTGGTGCTGTATATATATTCCTTGTCCATATATGTATATAGTCTTAAATTCCACTCCTTACTTAGATTTTTGTGTATTAGGTATATGTTGTGAAATTGTTAGATATTACTTGTTAGATATTACTGCACTGTCGGAGCTAGAAGCACAAGCATTTCGCTACACCCGCAAAAACATGTATGTGACAAATAACATTTAATTTGATTTGATATGATATATACAGTGCATTCGGAAAGTATTTAGACCCCTTCCCTTTTTCCAATTTTTTTTTACTTTACAGCCTTATTCTAAAATTGATTAAATAAACACAAATCATCATCAGTCCCATAATGACAAAGCGAAAACAGGTTTGTAGAAATGTTAGTAAATTTATTGAAATTAAAAACATAAATAGCTTGTTATATTATTATATAGCTAATTATTAAGGACCCATACATTTGCAGACCCTATGAAATTTGACGAACTGACTTGTTGGAAAGGTGGCATCCTATGACGGTGCCACGTTCAAAGTCACTGAGCTCTTCAGTAAGGCCATTCTACTGACAATGTTTGTCTATGGAGATTGCATTGCTG